TGCCCTCCCTCCCTCCCTCTCTCCCTCGCTCCCTGGCAATGATGCAAGAATGCCTGCATGTTAGTATGTCCATTCTATCCCAGGCCAACTTGCTGCTCTCTGCCTGCTTATCCCTTGATAGGGGGACAACATGGGGCGACAAGGGATATGCCTGGGTCAAATACGGCACCCCAGGCCTCCTCGAGCCTGCGTCAACCTATGGAATGATGTTCAAACCCCAAAGCCCACCCCGGCCGGCGCTGCTGCGAGTGCAGAGCGCAGCGGCGAAAGACGAGGGCTGCTTCGCGTACCAAGGCCAGAGGGGCGACTTTGTGTCACGCGTGGCGACACGGTTTGGGCTGACAATTCAAGAGTTTCTCCAATTCAATGTGGGCCGCATCCCTGCAATGGACGCTTCGCTGGTAGGCAAGTCGCTGCTGGTGTGCCAGATCCGCCCCAGCAGTGCCTGGACCGTCCAGGACGCCAATGGCGTCACTGTGAACACGCGGACACCAACCGCGACAGCACGCACATCGACGCCAATCGTCCAAGGTGCGTGAAGGAGCAGGGAAGTTTAAGAAACACCTGCCAAGCAAACGCACCAATTACAAAGCAACTGCATGGTTTGCGAAGATGGTGAAGGTGGTCGATGGCCATTTGGTGGCGCGGGGTCGACATCAGGAGCAACCCTCTCAGGGAAAACCGCAAGGGCTGGCAGACATTGACGGCTTGCCGCATCCTGATGCTTGCGTTGCTGGTAGCATCGGTCTCAGGTTCGCTGCTGCACGGCCGTCGGAAACGCTGCCGCGCCGCAACCTCATGCAAGCGTGGCATGTGCACCATGGCAGCAAATCAGTAGCCCAACGTCCCGATGGCTTGTGTCTGCAATGCCACGCACCAGTCTGATTGACCTCGTGCTAGCAAGATGTTTTAGAGATCTCATGGGGGGGGTGGCGTCCTTGCAGATAAGCGGGAGAGCTTCGTGCATCGTATAAACATCAGCTTCCCTTTCTACACCTTAGCCAACCCGCGCACCCACGGTGGTATCGCGTTGCTGCTCGCTGCCAGGCCAGGGCGTCATGCCTGGGCTGCCAGGCCCGGGGCTGTTTGGGGAAGAATCAACACTCAAGACCGCCTCAGCCAACACCTATGCCTCCTTCATCAAGCAGTGGAGCGGGGCGAAGGCCTGGCAGCGGGCCCTTCAGGTGGCGCCGAGAGCTGCGTGCGTGGGCACATCAAAGGACTCCCTTTGCGCTCCTCAAGTGGAGCAAGGTGGGGCGTGGTTCCGCTCCCGCACAGTTGTCGCTGGCATGCGCTCCATTGCAGGCAGCAGCGGGGTGGTCTCGCCCAGGACGGGCCGCGGTGGAATGACGACCGCCATCAACCCAGCTGAGCCATGGCCTGCCTCACTTTTACGACTGCAATCGATTCTAATTGAACATCGCCACCACCCTCGCAGATGCTGAGAAGCTCGCCACGCTGATGTTTGCTACATCGCCCGCCGCCTACAGCGCCCTGGATCCGCGCGAATTCGGTTACGCGGTCGTCCCGCCCCCCCGAGACGAGGGCGTGTGCTGGACCGTCGCGGCGTTCGTCGCCGTCACGGCCGCTGAGGTGTGGGGGCAGCCCAGGTGTTTCGTGCCAGCTGGCCAAGCACATTGCCAGCAATTGCGATAGATCGTCGCCTGTTTTTGCGCTGGTTTGACCGCACCCTGTTGCACACTCTGGAAGGGGGCTCTGTTTTGAACCTCTTTTTTTAATGCCAGCAGCATCCCACGCACTGCCTGTTCCTCCTCCCCGGCTCTGCTTCTGCCGGGGCGGCCGGCCTTCGCAGGCCGCTGTTGCAAGCGCCCTGGGCGAGGACGTGGCCCAGGTCGGCCAGCTGTCTCCGCAGGACCTCTACTACTGTGGCGACGCCAAGCGCGACTGCCTCACAGGGGCTTCACTGAAGGATACGCTGGCGGAACTCGCGAAGAGGCAGCTGTTGCTGGAGAAGTGCCTCCCCTACCAGCAGCCAAAGGATGTGAGCATAGCTGCTACGAAGCAGCAGCTTTGCGCCAAGTCATGCGCCGACACGAGCCCCCTGGCATCCAAGGGTTTTTTCACATATTTGCGCATCACAGAAGTGTGGAAGGCACAACAGCACATCCGTCAGTACGGTGCTGTGGTAAGCAGGATTATGTGCATGCAGCCGTGCATGGGTGTGGCGTGGTAAGCATGCAAGGTTGCATGTAAGAGCGAGCAGAGGGGGGGAGGGAAGGGACCGGCGCTGCAGTGGCCTTCCTTGATTTGCCCCATCACCAGGAACAGGGCGTAGCATGCCTTGTTGCACAAGATCACGATTGATGTGTTTGGTCGTTGCCTACAGCCGGCAACGCGCACTTATGCTGCCCCCACCCACCCTATCTGCCTGGTCTGCCCATAATCAGGTCACACGCTTTGACATCTACAGGTGAGACCCAGATTGTGGGGATGTGCGCTGCACTGTCTGGCGGAAACGTGCATGTGACGGCTTGGCATGCGCGTGCCGTGCAGCACAGCAGAGCACGGCGCACGCGCAGCGCTTACCCCTCCGTGTTGTTGCACAATGCTTGTGCGTGGCGGCGCAAAGCAGTGACTTCAAGATCTTCTTTGCAAACAACGCCAACATTGGAGCTGTCTACCGGCCCGCACCTGGCAGCAAGTTTGTTGAGGGCCACGCGATTACGCTGGTCGGGTGCGGCGGGTGCTTGGTGGGCGGTGCATGGGCCTTTCTGTTGCATTGGCACCAGATTCTGGTGACAAATGGCGATCCTGTACCTGCCCGTGCCCCTTGTGCCTCAAAGGGGGCTGTCGCTCTCACGGGCGCTCTCCCACCATCCCTGCAGGTATGATAACGTCAACCAGTTCTGGATAGCACGCAACTCATGGGGCCCAGGTAGGATGTGCTGGGTGGACGGTGGACGACCAAAGGAGGTGCCGAGGGCTGAGCTTTTATTATCAGGTGCAACAGTAAGACTCCCAGCCCCAGCTCAGTTGAGCGGAAACGTGTTACTCCGCACATTACCGTATGTTGCTTCTCCCTTGCTCCCCACCTCAGGTTTTGCTCAAAACGGCACCTTCAAGGTCAGGATGAGCTCGGCCCCAGCGGCGGGCAGGTCCCAATGCAGATTTGCTCGCATGCAACAGCTTGTATCCCCTGCACACGCACGCACTTCACCTCTATCTCCCTCTACCACACAATTACACACACATACGCACGCACACGCACA